TCTCTCTCTCTCTCTCTCTCTCTCTCTCTCTCTCTCTCTCTCTCTCTCTCTCTCTCTCTCTCTCTCTCTCTCTCGTGTCAAAAAGATTGATCGGGGGACGCGCGAATCGCTTTTGTTCTTAATGACGTCTCACGATATTTTGTGATTGATTGACATGTGGACCGACAAGTACCCTTCGATTGGGCGCCGGCCTCCCGTATCTCCCATCCCAACGCGACCTTTTCCTTACAGTGAGGAAAGGACACGTGTATGTGAGTGGGACGTACGAGAAGCCGTTGCACAAATCGGCAGGCAGTATTACTTCCCTCCGGCCAACCGTTGTTCTGGGTTCATAGAAGCCGGGTTTGTTATTATCGATACGCACTTCCTTCCTTACTCGGTATTGTTGCCATTTAACGAGTTGATCGTCATTCTGTGGACGGCAGTAGAACCCCACTGGCCGCGCACTCTGTGCACCGAATGTCAGCGTTTTGAGCGCTACGAGTCCAGGGGTTTCCACTACCGTGTGCGGAGTGAAGAAGAGCATAAAGAAAGAGCCACGCGACTGAGACCCTCCACGTCAGACTCAGAACTAACCAGCGAACGACGACGAGACTTGATACGAAAACGGGACACGCGAAGCGTGCCCAAGCCTTTTTGTTCTAAACGATGGGTTGTAGCCCGGTGGAAGGCACGACAATACTTTTTGGATTGAATTTGGATCTCTCCCTCTCTTCCCGCCTTGCCCGCGCTCACATTTCGCGACGCGCGAAAACGATCGACTTGCTCCATCGGACCAACACGGCGGATTTCAGCTCCGTCTGTGTCCCCACACTCAATTTCCAAAAATCCTTGGCACACCCCTTTTTGCTGTTTTTCTGGGCCTTTTTCCGCACAGCTAACACTCCGAACAGAAGACAGCACAGGTCGTGAGGTTGGTATCGGAGCGACACGTGTAGGTTCTGATGATAGTAAGTCGAACGGGCGAGAGGTAGGAGAGACCCTCAACTAACTCGTCGCGATCGCTCAGTAACCCGGTCTCAGTCTAGTGCGGCACCAGCAATACCAATGGTGGACAGTACTAGGGTGATCGTTAGCATCCCTGCCCCCTTTCCCTTCTTCCCTAACCATACCCATCCCGAGGCTTGGCTGGAAGCTGTCGAAGCTCAAAACTACAGCGCAGCCGATCTTCCCCGTGTTCTGACCTAACTACTCCGCAATACATCGCACGACTGGTTCAGAAAGCATACATGGGTAGATTGGGAGACTTTTAAGCATGCATTCTTGGCTTGATTCAACACAGTTAGCGAAGATGGCGCCTGGTATGTACTCAAAAATCGACCCCAAGGGCCAGGGGAACTGTTTCCCGATTTTGTTGATCGATTTCAAACCACATTAGATAAATCCGGGCGAGACGAGAAATCTGTTCCAGATTTGTTTATTGATTACCTTCGAAGTCCGACCTTGAAAGGGAAACTGCAAAAAAAGGTTCCGCCGAAAATAACCCAGTTATCGGTTATCATTACTAAAGCGTTGGAGCTAGACTTGGTTGATACAAAAAAATATATCATCCAGGGAGACGAGGACATTACAGATACCATACGGGATGTAACGGCCAAAAGGTGATCATGGCTACAAGCAGTCGAACAGTTTTATCCCCACGCCGACCATGATCTTCCCGACGAGATCGTTTCCGATATCCCGACTGCTTTTCCTCCCTCTACCCCGGTGAATCAATCGATCGCAGCCGTTAGAAGCGGAACTTCATCTGAACCCCCCTCGCCGGCCGTAACCAATCTACACCTTGCCCAGATGATCCACACGGCTGCTACCACGCAGTCCGAATGGATGAGCGACTTGATCCAAATGCAGGCCGCTCACATGGAACGGATGGAACAGATAATGAGCAGGCTCATTAAGCCTAACCCAGCTCCTGCTCGGCCTGCCTCTGCATTGTTTCCACTCTTACCTGCCCCACCTGCTCCAGGGTTCGCGCCTCAGTATCCCCATCTAGCTAATCCGTCAGGAAAGATCGAGTGTTTCAACTGCACACAGCCCGGGCATTTTGCCCGGGCCTGTCCGCAGCCGAAACGTATTCAGTCTCCCCCTGCTGCGGCCCCTGTCGCCCTTAATCAAGGATGAGTGGCCGCTCTGATGGACATGGACCAAGGAGGAGAGCTCGTAGCATATGCTCCAGAACAGCCTTCCTCTTCGGTGATAATAGCGCCGACCTCAGGAGCTTCTTCCTCTGACGCTGCTACCGTGGTCGATCCTCTCGAGTATCTCCATCTCGCAGGCATGATAGGAGCGATCCGATCAGTCCCAGATGATCTCGAGTGGGTCGATCGCGAATCCAATCCAGGACCGCAGTTTCGGACAGGAGACATTGATGTACTGAGAACGCTCAAGCAGTTAGACATCCGCATTCCTATCCCCGTAGGGCATCTGCTCACCATATCTGAAGCGGCGAACGATAAACTTTTACAACACTGCCAGAAAAATCAAAAGCGTTTTACCTATCAGCGCATACAACGGATGTTGAAGAAGAAGGAAGGAAACGAGGAGATTGCACCTCTCGAGCCTGACACGAAAGAACCCGAAGCCGCACGAATAGCAGTGATCTCTTCAGCAGAAAAGGATCACTTCGTACAAGCTCGGCCAGTACTATGGAAAAGTGCGGAATGTGACTGTGAAGTTTGGGGTAAACCGTTTAACGCCCTAATTGACACAGGGTCTTCTGCTGTGGCCATATCATTGGAGACTGTTAAAATGACGGGACGACTTGGATCCATTCTTCCTCAATCTGGCAAAGACAACTATGTCTCTGTCGACGAGGAAGCAATGAACATTGTAGGCATTATTGAGAATGTGGTTGTAAAGGTCGGGCGAGTACACGTCCTTGTTAACGCACTCGTAATAAATGTATGTTCCTACTCTGTGTTATTGGGATTACCTTGGGCAATGGCGGTGGGCGCACGTCTGCATTTCGATTCGAAACAATTGGTGCTCACACAAACTGGGGGGAAACCTCAAACTGTTCCTTTGCGAGTTTTCACCCGAACGATAAAGCGGATCCCTAGCCCGGCCCAAATAGGGATGATTCGATGCATTGATCCCGAGGAGTGCTCCCCCTCACGCCTCGTGGATGGAATTAGGGAACGAGAATACGAAGAAGAGATGCCCAGTAAAGAGGAATGGAAGCATCTGGTTGAACTTTTCGAACATGAAACCCCCGAAGAATTTCGAGTGTGCCCCAACACCGCTCGAAGCTTCCACGTGGATTTTGAAGACAGTGCATTCACGCCTCTAACAACCCAGGTCAGTCCTTCAGTCATCCTCGGGGAACCCATATTACAAGTTTCCGATCTGGCTGATGATTTGGAACCCCCTCGCACCTTGTACGAGTGAGCTTTTTCCTTACGAACGCGTTATCAGCAAACGGAACAGTATTTGGATGTTTCTGGTTTTCCACCCTGATCATTACTAACGACAGGAGTCACCATCGCCTTGATTAAACAAGAAGCGGAAGCACCAATAAGTGACGTGCCGAATCTAATGCAAGAAATAACGGATCTAACAGGGCTAACTGTGAAACCGACTTCGGTTGGTTCAGAGACTGGCGCTGAAACTAAAGAAACGGAGATGATCAGCCCCGCTGAGTCCCAGATGATAGCAACTGTCTTTTCTGTTCGCACCAGTAGTTCCGTTTTCTTTAGTGTCCATGAGCGGCGGGAACGTCCGGTTAATCGGATCGATATGCCCCTTAATATGTCCAGGGAATCGACGATCCCCCTTCCGAGTCACGTTCCCGCGGAACTTCGGAAGTCGTTAATCTGTGTATTGAATGGTTACGCAGAAGTGCTGAGCGTGCATGACAATGATATTGGGTTAACTAATGTAATTAAACATGCCATTCTCACGGGAGATCATCCGCCCATTAGCTGCGCTCCCTACCGATACTCGTCAGCTCAACGAGCGGCCGCCTTTCAGCGGATTAAGGAGTTCGAAGTTAATGGATGGATCGAACCTGCTATAGGACCATGGTCTTTTCCTGTAGTAATAGTACCCAAGAAGGCTAGGGGGATTCGCATTTGCATTGATTATCGAAAGTTGAATGATATCACGATTAAGGATGTGTATCCCCTCCCCCGGATTGATGAGTTATTGGATGCGATTGGGAGTGTTCGATTTTTCAGCAAGTTTGATGTTCATCATGGGTTTCATCATCTTCTTGTCCGAAAAGAAGATCGTCCGAAAACCACGTTTGTGCTTTTCGAAGGTACGTGGCAATGAATTCGATGCCCGATGGGTATCTGCAACGCCCCTGCGACTTTTCAGTGGGCCATGAACATGGCTTTTCAGAATTTCGTGCGGAAGACTCGCCTGGCACAGAGCATTATCAACTACTGCGTGATTGTGTACATGGATGACATCTTGGTGTATTCGAGCTCCTACGAGGGACACGTGCAGCACATCGAATGGGCACTGCATGCGCTACGAGATGCAGGTTTCAAAGTGGCGCTTGAGAAGTGTCAGTTTTTCCTCACCACCATTTCTTTCCTAGGGCACGTGGTGACAGACAAGGGACTCCAACCGGAGCCGCAGAAGGTGGCAGCTGTCAGGGACGCGCCAATGCCTACCACTATCACGCAAGTTCGCACCTTTTTGGGCCTAGCCTCGTATTACCGAAGATTTATCAAGGGCTTCACGGCGATTGAGGGACCCCTCACAAATCTCCTGCGCAAGGATCAACCGTTGATCTCGACGCCAGAGTGTGATCAAGCGTTTTCTAAACTCAAGGCTGCTCTCATTTCGGCTCCGGTTCTTATAAGACCGGATCCCGAAAAACCTTTTGTTCTCATCACCGACTGGCAGCCAGAGGCGATTTCGGCGATCCTTGCCCAGGTGGGACTGAGCGGACTCGAGAGTGTAGTGGAGTATGCGTCCAAATTCGTGCCCGCCTGCAAGCGCAATTACGCTGCTCCAACGGGTGAATGCTATGCGGCTCTCTGGGGAATCAGTCACTTCCGTGCGTACCTGTACGGGCGAGAATTCACCCTGGTGACTGATCATGAGCCCCTGTTGGCTCTGAAGAAGTCGAAGGATTACTCGGGCATGATCGTGCGATGGGCAACGGTGCTGCAGAGCATGGACTTTGACATTCGTCACCGAAAGCACGAGAGACACGGGAATGCGGACGGACTGACACGACTGCACCGGCCTGAGAAAGTTCCGAGGAATGAGGAGGTGATTCCGTGGAACGAACCCGAGCAGAAGATTAGACCTCGGTACGGCCAAGTGGAGATTTTGTCGACGCAGTAAGTGACACGAGGACTAATTTGCCTGCTCTACTCTCTCCATAATCCAGTCTCGTCTCTCCCCTTCTGTCATCATGACTACCCCGCCTGCCTCCACAACCCCTTCTTCCCCTACTAATTTTGCCCCTCTTACTTCCTCAGCTTTCTTCGTCACCCTTCCCGATAAATTCTGCTATTTTTGCACGTGTATTGCACGAGTTTATGGGGTCGACTGCCATCCCTTTGAGACCGGATCTGTCGATTGGGTAGAATGTGCCACGTGTGTCAACCATGCGCACGGGGCCTGCGTTCGATATCGGACGAGTAGCAAGGAATGGAGGTGCCCCCTGTGTAGAACGAACAAACTCCCCACGGAGGTTCGATTCGAGGCCGCCTGTACGGACGGTCCTGAATACGACAAAAAATACCTACGGGCGGAAGTCTGGACGGATAAAATTTTATTGGCGAAATTAGTAGGATTATCATTGGGCCACCTCACCAAACACGACAGACGTAGGGCAACCGAGAGATCTTGGGACTATCGATGGATCAATGGTCATTTGGAAAAGCGTAAAACTGATGGGTCGGGTTCGTGGTTGACAGTTCCCCATCCATTCCAGAGATACGATTGGATCCGATCTGCTCACGAAGAACAGGCCGCTCATTTCGCGATACGTGTCACGGAGGCAACTGTAGACCAGAATCGATGGTTCTGGTCCAATATACGAGATGATGTCAAATACATTGTCGCTAACTGTCTGGTCTGTGCCGCTGATCGCGCCCCAATACCGGGACCAAACACGATCGTGCCAACGGAAGTAGAGCGTCCTTTCCAGCGAGTCAATATGGACACGACAAGTATTGACGTGCCACCTGGCCCAAACCGCTGTGAATATTCCATCCTGTTAGTTTTAATTGACCATTTTTCCAAATATATCGAAGTCTATCCTTGTAAGACCCGAAAAGCCGCAGAAATAGCCACGTACATCGAACGGTTCCTCTATACCCATCTAGATACTGAAGAAATTCTAACCGACAATGGATCTCAATTTAAAGGTGAGATAGAAGAACTACTTGTGCGAAGGGGCGTCACGCTCCGACATATGGCACCCCATGTATCCCAGTCGAACGGGTTGGCCGAGAATGTCAACCGTATGATTAAAACCGCCCTTCGCAGGAACTTAGCGGCACACGACACGCGTCCGTGGCCCGAGATCGTATATCAGATCGTCGGCATCCACCGGACCACCCCTCACGAGTCTACGAAGTTCACCCCCTTTCAGCTTCGAACTAATAGCCTCCCCTGTGTCGATTACCGGGGTAACTCGAAAATTGCCGAAGCAGGGGGTAGAGACACGCATGCGGCCCTCAAGGCCAAGGCCAAAAGATACACCGATTTGATGGAACGAGCCGTTCCGAAGCTAGCCCGAAAAAGACAAAGGATGACCAAGCTGGCCCACGGTAGACAGGTCCGTAGCTACGAGGCCCGAAACGGAAATGCTGGGCCCCAGTACCAGTATAAATTGGGGGACCTAGTGCAGATACGTAAATGTGCATGTGATCGGAAACTCGCTCCCAAGTTCTCTGGCTGTTTTCACGTTGTCGAACTCGGGCGCAACGGCGCTAACACGGTGCGCATCGCGCCTGAGGCTAGCGGTAGCCATAGCTCCGTCCGCATCATCAGACATACCTCCTACCTCCGTCTCCTTCCTCATTCCGATTTTCCTCCCTCTTCTTCCTCGGAAAGCGAGGAAAACGACGAGGATCTAACCCTCTCTCCTCTTTCTCCCTCTTGTCCCTCGTCCTCCTCTCCGACCTCGCCATGAGTTTCATCACGGAGCGGGTTTTCGACGCACAACTGTGGCAGCCACGTGGCCACATCTCAGAGATCCGGCAAGATTGTCACCCTCGGCTCAATACGGATCTTCGCCGTTTGATGCGATTCTTCTGCGACAAAGGTATCTGTGTCGCCGCCGCGTTTCGGATAGAAGGAAGCCCTCATGCGATAGTGTTCGCGGAGGTTACTGCAGTTCATCGGCGAGCGCGTCCAAGAACGAGCCACGTCACCACAGTGGCGGCATTCACCGGCGACAGCAGCTCGGTCAATCCGCTGCGGCATACCGCGATCTTGGCCTCGCTGCGCGAGTGGACGGAGCAAGTCTCCAACGTGTGGCAGCACGTCCTCGCCCGGGAGGGGTATAACATCATCTCGATCTTTGCATCGGACCTTGACGGCATTCGCCGATCACCGCGCGAGCGGCCAGTTGCGATCCCAACCATCATCCCCTTCCCCCATCCCCAATGAACCACGCTGCTCTTCTCACTCCTTTCTCCATCTTTGGTCTCCCCTCTCTCGTCCCCACCTTCTGGCAATCCGATCTTCACCCTTCTCTTTCCTTCTCGTTCGAGCCTCTTTCAGTCCCTCTTATCAATCCTCGATATTGGCGACTGTGGCGTGAGACTTTTGAGGAGTTGTCCTTCTGCCTGACCCGAGTACAAGTAAAGTGGACGGGCACTATCGAGCACCCCTCGTGGATCGAGAATCCGGAGTTGCTGATCATACAGGGTTGGAGGACTAACGCGGAAGGAGATTGTATTGGATTCCTCTTTGGATTGGTATGACTGGGTCGCCGTCAGTTGATTGCACAAGAGCTCATCGCACTGATCGTGCAATTGGCGGACGATCTCTCGCCCGACATCTACTTTCAGAGCGACAATAGTCCTGCTCCGTACATTTTCGAGCGATCCTTGGATCCCTACCTTCAGTGGACTTCGTGCTTGGAGGAACCTAGGGACGAGGATACGCTACCATCGCGGCAGGAGTATCTGAAGCCGTACGAGATCATCCCTTACGCCTTCTACCCGAGGGCAGAAGAACTGGTGATTGACGACAACGACGACGAAGAAGAAAACGACGACAAGGAGACATCGGAGGAGGGAAGTTATAGTGAACATAGCGAGGGCGAGCTGAGTAAAGAGGAAGAAGAAGAAACCGGATCCGAGTGGGAAGCCTTGCCGGAGGAAGCGACGCGTACGGGAACGGAGGCGGAAGATCCGGAAGCGGCGCGAAAGCGCGAAGAAATTGCCACCGGAAAGCGCCAGCTGGAGTTCGCTAGCGAGGCTAGCCTGCGCATCGGTAGCGATCCGACCAGGGATCCAGAGCCGCCGAGGCCCGAAGATGGCGACCCTGCAGCCGCCACCTCAAGTACTGCGCGACGGAGACGGCGCCGATCCCCCTCCTCCTCCAGCCCCACCCGTCCCCCAGTTCGCCCACGTACCAATGCGGGCGATAGGCCTTCAACCTCGGACGCTGCCCCGCCGACCCCTTGATTTTCTCACCCTCGAGCAGATCCGTACCCCCGTCACCTTCCCTTCCCATCCTTTCCATCCCCATCTCTTCCACGACTTCTATTCTACCCGTCTACTCGCCACC